GGCTCGCCTGTTCGGGAGCGGGAGGTAGCGAGAGAAAGCAGCACAGATTACTACAGATAGCAAAACCAGCAGCGTCCCTGAGTATCGCTCACACGGAGCTTGCACAAAATGCTCACTCTGGAATAGATGCAGCTGTGCTATGGAAAGATGAGCTGGCGCTGGATCTTTCCTTAGGGCTGAAAAGCCAGCTGAACCTTAAAAGCAGTATCTGTCCCCCAGCAGGCAGATATACAGCCCCGAGAAAAAAGTGCAGGGAGCACATCTGGCTCTGGGGAGCTGCTGGGTAAAAATCAGACTCTTCCCCCCTCCGCTTTTGTTTGCCCCTCGTCGTTTCGAATGAGCTGGCTCCCAAGCCATCTGAAATAACGCTGTCCCTTTTTTAAGGCAGACGACCTCCGAGTATTTCTGGAGGGTATTACATCAATTCCTGTGTCACATTTGACTTCTTTTTCCCCTTCTTCATTTCCTTTTTCTTATTCCAAAAGTGAAAAGGAAACCCAGCACAAAAGAAGACAACTCCTGCCTGAGCCCGCCGGTCTCGCCAGCTCCTGAGTCACCACGCAGCCCGGGTTGTCTCCTGTCTGCGCGCCGTCAGCAGCCTGGAACTCTGCCGCCTTTGCGCGCTGGGGACAGCTAATCCCCAGACGGACAGTACAGTCAGTCTCTTTAGTTAAAAAGAAAGCAGCATGTCTCCAGACAAGTGATCCAATTAAAAAAACGAAGTAATCGGAGCCTCCTGGAGTAGAACATAGCCCAAAAAACCTGCTTGAAAGCCAATTTAATCTTTGTTGTTTTTTTTTTTTTACTGAGATGTGTGGCACACAGCACAGCATTCTGATTTCTTTCGCCTCTTGTTAAACCATGATTTACAGATCCACTTTTCTCTACACCCTTATTTTTGTTTTTCAAGGAAAAAAAAGCGGGTTTGAATATGCCCAACTGAAGCCCGACCCTAAAGCCAATCGTATCCATAGAGAATTTGCAGAAAGCTTTGGAGCAACATCTCTTTGCTCAGCTACTCCTCTCTTCCTGACTTTTCATCCCCAGTGGGAGGAGACAGGAGTGGGTTTGATGCAGTCCTCTCCCCTGCAGGAACCATCTACCCGTGGGACACGTGCCTGGTCCCCATGAGGCAGAGCACCCCGGGACCGGAGGAGGTGGCAGCAGCCCCGGTGTCGGAGGCTGCGATCCTGCTCCTGGGCAGCTTCATCTCCACGCTGCGTCGTGCCCCTCCTTGGTGCCCATCTCACGGCTTTTTGGCCGGGACCCGGGGATTCTGCACAGAGGGGATTTCTCGGTGCTGCGGAAGGAGGGATGTGGCAAAGGCCGTCTCAGTCTGCCTTGTGTTTCTCCCTTCCCCTCTGGGAAACTATCCCTAACAGAACGGGAATTTTGGCATCTTATGCATGGTGTTTAAAAATAAATACATAAATAAAACTAAGCGTGGCAAAAGTTAATGCGAAAGTTAGTGGAACAACAAACTGTGCTCCATGTCCTTTTTCTGTGCGGTTTTTCAGTCTGCCGGTCGCTAGTGAGTAGCAGTCGCCTGCAGTTCAGCACCGGGCAAGCAGACCACACTGACCTCAAGGAAAACCAGGCATTGCTGGGAGACACGACAGTCCTTTGACTTTGGACTCACTTCTGAAGTTGCTTACCTGTATTTTATTAAAGAAAAGTTTATCCCACAAACTGTCATTTCTAATGATCCCGTTTCGAACTTCAGCCTTTTTCCTCTTCGCGGCGAATTCCAGCGCCCAGCGCTTGAGGGACGTGTCTGCCTGGCTGAAGATCTGCGGGAGAGCGGCGTGGCCGGCGGCGCGGCGCCGGGAGGGAGAACACGTCAGCGGCTCTGCTTGCGCTGCCAGCTCTGCAGCTCGGCCCGTGCCGGGCGGCTGGGGTGACGTTAGCAGCACCCTCAAATAAGTCTACACGAGGGCTTTGTTAGTGGGGAGGGGGGGGGAAAGGAGTGGTTTGTTTTACTCCGTTCACTATTGTACCTGCTGTTCCTTTGGGGGAAAAAGAGAGAAAATGATAGGGTAGGCTTTGGCTGGGTTTACATGACTGCTATTTCTCTGTGATCTCTGTGATAGGATTGAGTGAAATCATGCAATCTGAGCAACCAGGAGCAAGCAACTGGAATGCCAGAGCTGGCGTCAGCGCTGGCTGATGAGGAGGGCACGGGGGCTGTGTTTGCCAAAGCTTAATCAGACACCTGCATGAGCTATAGCTCTACCACCGAGAAACTCCCAGTGTCCGCCCCTCTAATGAGGCACCAGAACCCGCGATCCCACAGTCCTGACCTTGGGAAAAATTAAACCGGTAGCTTGTGCTTAAGCCCATCTCTAGAGGATAAGTCTTCTGAGGAAGAAATATTCCCAGCTGGTCAAACAGATTTAACATGATGACCAGACATGCCTGTCGTCAGTCCCTTTCAAGACCATCTCTTAGTTTTAAAGATTTCCAGGTCCAAAAGCCGTTTGGATCTAGAAATCACATTTACACCGCCTGAATCCTTATGGTCTTTTTGCAGCTCCTGATTTTGAGCTGTCATTGCCACCGGAAAGAGAGATTCAAGTTCCAAAACTGGTTGTAGGGCACAAAAAGTCCTAGAGCATCCAGGTTTGACTGGCATTTCTGTGATGAAAAATATCCATCATCTCTGGAAATGTCACTGGTAACCTCAGTGAGAAGAGGGTGGGAGGCTGATACAGAGGGATTCCATGTGAACATGCAACAGCCGTGTCGGCAGTCTGTGTAGGTCAACAGAATACGGACTCACAAATCAGAGCAGCTCTATCAGTTACACAGGGTAAGAAAGTGTTTGCAGGAAGGCAGAAACAGTATAACCTGCTCGGGAAATCGCCGTGACCGGGGGAATGCTTTCACATAAGCACTAAAAGGCCATAAACTTTATCATTACAGAAGGAGCACAGCGGAACTCACCTTGTCGTACATCCTGTTCAGCAGCCGCGGCACGACGGGGAAGATGGTTGGACGCAGGGCTTTCATGTCGTCGGACAAGAGACGGATATCTCCTTGGAAGAACCCGATTCGCCCTCCGTGGCAGTACACGACGGACTGGTGGGAAGGAAAACGAACACGTGTAACCCCTTTGCCTTGAATTCCCACGGCAGAGCATCCCTCCCAAGCGCCAGAGTGCCTTTCCTGAAATTCTACTCTCAGTAAGACAAAAACAGGGCTTTAGAAGTAAATACAAATACAATTTTGTAAATTTTGCACTGAGTAGAAATAACCAGATAGTTCTGGGCACTTTTTCAGTGCTGGCAACGCAGCATCCACCAAATTGGCCCCTGTTTCGGGAAGAGCGAGGAGCCAAAGCTTTTAGCAGGGGTTGCCCTTCGTCCCCTGTGTGCGGGGATGGAGAAGTCTGAGTTACGGTCAGATCCTGGATCTGAACTTCTCCCCTGAAGCCCAGACCTACCATAGCAGCTCACAGCGTGAGGACCTACTGTCGATAAAGAAAGGCGTATTAAGAAACATTGTAAAACATACTGAGCGGCAGCCGACTTTAGGTGTTAATACTTTAGTTTTGTTTAAATACAACAATATAGACTACGTTAGCAGTACAGCGCCTGATCCTGTATCCCAGAAATAGAAGCCCACTTCAGAAAAGGTGCTTTACTTGTATGGAAACTACAGATCCAGAAGTTTTGTGTTTGGAAAGAAAACAGGCCACTTCGATCCGAACAGAGCTGGGCACGCGGGATGGGGCAGGGCAGGCTGCCTGCTGTAAGCCAGCTGACTCTGAGACCGCAGGAATTTTATACGTGCAATGTGGGTTTAACAAACATCACACTGCCAAATCTGTGTTCTACGCTGCACGTGAACACAAATTAAAACAAAAAAAAAGAAAAAAGGAAAATATAATCAGTGTGCTTACTGGGAATTATAAATGACTTCTAGAAATTTTGAGCTTTGAAGCATGTATCTGTTTAATTTTAACTGTAAGTTCCAGGAACTAATAACGTTGGCTAAAACTAGGGAAGCTGACACATTGCTCGCTGTTCAGAATGCTTTTGAAAATGACTTTTTACCCCTTTTGAAAAAAATCTTTATGAGCTTTTTTAGCAGGGAGGATAAACCTGACTCTCCTTGGGAGGCCTGCCCCTTTCAATATGGCAACATCCTGTGAAATCAGGTTGTTTCAAATGTTTCTAATTTTCTTTTCCCCCCATCAGATAGCTTTTTAATAATATATTCTTGCTGGCTGGCAGAGCAGTTTGCCCGAATAGTGGTGGCATACTGCCCAGCTTGCCTTCTAAAATTAGACTTACAGGTGAAGATGGGCTGGGCTGTAATTCTCCAAATCTTTCATGGACTTTCACTTCCAATTTGCAAGTTGTTTTTAACAGGGCAGAACATATTATTTCTGGCACAGATGTTACTAAGAAGTGGGAGGCTTATATTCGGATGCTTGTCTGACTCAAAAAGTATGCTTGCAGCCCGAAACAGTCCTCCCTGAGAAAGTGCAGAGCTGCAGCTGGACCCAGACCCAGCCTGCAGACACTGGAGCAGTTCTTAGTTGGCAGCTTCTCAGGCTGGGAGAAACGATGCGATCGTCCCTTCCGACTCGCCTGCCGCACCGACTGCGGCACAGGTCATCACCCGTCTTTTGCCACAAGGATGGGACAAGTCAGCTCTGCGGGCTGTTGGCCTTTATTGCCAGGGGACACCGGATTCCCGTTGCAGCGCGCCGCGCGCTGCCCTGCCAGGAGGATCACGCGTGTCGCACCGCGGTCTCAGCTTCCTCTTTCTCAGCGTCTGCAAGTTTTTTTGCAGGTCTGGTGATTTACGCCATGAAAAGATTTTAGCTGATGTAGAAATGGCACAAAGTGACTTTTGCTCCCGTGCTGCCTGCCCCGAGAGTGGTTTGAAAAGCTGCCCCCAGAATCGTGCGGGTAGCAGCTTCTGCTCGTTGACGAAGGGCTGTTTTCCAATCTCGAGCCACCGGCGTGAGCTGGAGAGCTTGGGAAGCTCTCCTGGAATCTCAGCCGTGTCTCCGAGGCCAGAGGCCGGGCCCTGGTGTAATGCACGTGGCACTTCTGGAGTACAAGCTTTTTTAGTGCTACAAGGTATCGCTGGTTATTTAGTATTTTATTCATTTTATATATATATATTTTTTTTTGGCGTGGAAAAAGGTGATTTCCACTGACACTAGGACCTTACCTGTACCATTCTCTCAAACATGTGTGCTAAAGGCAAATAGGAAATGTGTACATCCTCACAAGTAGGAGACCACTGACTCTGGAAGAAAGCAGAAGGAGCCCCACGAGGCCTCGTCAGTTCGGGCAGGTTTCTTACCTGTATAACTCTTTCAAACATGTGAGCCAGAGGCAGGAAGGAGATGAGCACATCGTCCTGTCTCGGAAAGATCACTTTCTGCAGGTGAAGGGCATGGGAGACAGAAAGGAAAGAAACACTGACAGGAAGACAACAAGAAAGTCATAAAACGGTAAAAAGAAAAACGGCACCAGAGGAGCAAAGGGGTACAGATTGTCGAGAGAGGGAGGGAGCAGCGTACGAAGGGAAGCGTTAAGCCACAGCGCCAGTGAAGCTCGGTTAGCAGGAGGAGTAAAGAGCACGGAGATGTACACAGAGGGCAACGGAGAGGTCTCCCCACGGCAGAAGGCGTCTCGGACCCACACAGCTCGCGCTGGAAACAGAGGCTCACCCTGACAGAGCACCCGATTTTTATGGACCGCTTTCTACCGTGAGGTGCCGAGCCCACGATTTGCGCTCGCGGCTGCGTGCAGACCCGGAGGATCCTGGTGCAAACCCGCACGCCACGGAGCCCACCAGGGATGCACAGCGTTACTAGAGTCAAAGCTGCAGATTTTCTCCTTTTCCTTAGGTTATTCATTGATTTGAATCAGAATATGTTGGAAAAATCAACGGGTTTTTTCGGCTGCAAAAATTAATGATTTCTGTTAGCGTTTCTCATAATTTTGAAGTGATTAAAATGTGATTTTAGGGGTGTGATCACTGCCCCACAGGCAGACGCAGAGGGGAAAAAGAAGGCTGGTCAAATTAAGCGCAAAAGAAAAATGACCAAAGTCTTCGGTTTGCCAAGGTTTGAACTCTGCCTCGCAGGCTGGAATAAACGAAGGCCCTGAGACCCTCACCCGGCCCATGGCCCAGACGAAAAGTAACCTTGCTACCCCTGCATTTCCAAGGGCAAGCCTTCCCACAGTATTGAAAGCTGATTACCCAATAACTTGCACCGAAGCCGGTGGTTAGTGGAAAATGGGTATAAAGTCTATTAGCTTGCAGTATTAGCAGTTTATACCCACTTTGCACCTCCACGGCTGCGGCAGAATCGATAGTCCGTGACCTGGGACACGGCGCTGGGTGCAGGCACCGGAGTTTCTTCCTCGGGGAATATTTTATTGGCGTGAACTGCGGGCAAGTCAGACTGGGGTATGCCCTCCCCGCCATTACCTAGTGAAGTCAGACACGGTTGACCACGTGGGCGTTTTCAGCATCCCGTTTCGTATTATTTTATGTGTCAGTCTGAATTAAGCTATTCAGGCCTGCAGAGCTATTTATACATTATTTCAAATTGGCTTCATTTTCTGCAAGCGCAGTAACATAAGACCATTAGTGTCGCTAGCTATGCTGCTTTTTGTTTGCACAGCTTTACGTGCCCAAACAGTAAATGATTTGGTTTTAATCGGATCAAAATGATGACATTGAATAGTATTTCACAGTTGGCACACTTGTCCAGTTAAATGTAAAAATGAAAACAGCTTCTTGGCATTTGAGAACAACCTTATAATAAAGCTCTAGGTTCACTTCAAAAAATGTTCCGTTTTTAAAAATCACTGAACTAAGCAAAACTGGCACAAGGGTATATAAACAGCAAATCCACAGTACTTTGCAGCTTTAGGTATTTTCATTTTCTTCATTGATACTACTTTCAAGTATTTTGCACTTTGCTAGATTTCATTACTGTGGTCAGACATCGCCTGGATCGTGTCGGCTGGCTACGGGCATTTAGGCTCTCACCACCAGCACTCTGGTGACTGAAGCTGTGGAGTTTACACCAGACTTCCTCTCAGTCTGATGCCTTCGAGATCAATCAGAGTCCCATTGCCATCAGCGAGCACTAAATCCGTTTCTCTGGGCCACTCCTGGAAGATGCCAAGTTCCCTCCGCTCCCTCTGAATTAGTCCTCTTCCAAAATAAATGTTCCTGCCCTTTGAAACTCCGACCTCGCTACCCATCAGCTTCCCCCTGTGCATCTCGCTGCCTCGGAACCCAGCGACAGCCCCGCGCTGCGCAGCCCGAGGGCAAGCTCCGCATCGACATTTCCTGCTGCCGATTGCTGGAGCCCCAACCCTGCGAACCCTCGAACACGGGGGTTCAGTGGGAGCTCTCACGTCACGCACCCAAATTTCTTTACAACGGTGGCCTGGAAATCTCAGAAAGTTCAAGGATTAAGATAAGAAGACTGCAGTATTTTCAGCACCAGCAGTAAGACTGGCAAGGGATAGAAGGTAACAAACTGTCCATCCCGTGTGTACATCGCTACCTTGTAGAACTGCCTGTTTACTACAAAAATATAGACTCTTTATATTTGCAAGGTGCAAGCTGCGTAAAATCCTTACTATGTTGTGCTAAAGCAGTTCTGCTTCCTATATCGTTTCCAAACACAAGTTTACACATTGCATAAAACATCTGATACGAGTACTTGGCCAGTGCTGTGCTTTTTTAAAAATATGTAGAACAGAAACCGAGATATACTTTAATATCAATGAAATTAACTGTTCTAATAAAAAACATTTATGTTCTTATGTATAGATATATAGATACACACACTTCATACGCAGAGATCTTTCAAATAAATGAGGGCCGTGTGTGGGCACAGTGGGACACAAAGAGCGCAAGCGGACCCTGTAGTCTTTTTTCAAGCATCAGTTGCAACTGTGCAGGGCTCGTTTGCTCTCCTAATTCTTCAAAAGGGGTGAACTAACAGGAGCCAACGTTGCTCCTCAGAAGCACTTTATGCCCTACGGAGCTGGGGAGCCAGTGCTGGGAAGGGGGTTTAATGCTCTCCAGTGCTGGAAGCTCAGACCTGCTCCCATTTCCACCAATTTGGCCCTCTGAGCAAGAGAAACGTCACCTCTTATCTGCAGGAGCACATTTCCAGCCCGTGCAGGGACACAGCTTAACCCACACACTCTGCACATGGCAACATTTTCTAGATCAGGGTATTCACCTCCGTCACTTTCAAAAAGCCTGAAAAATCAGCAACCACGTTCCCGTGAGTCAGCATCGCACCTTTGGGGTTTCCTGAAAGGAAACAAAGAGTGAGATTAAAAGATGAGCCAGTAGGCAATTCCCAAAAGCTTAAGAAAAAAACAAAACAAGAATTGGTTAAAATATTATGTTCTCTTTTTGAATTTTAAAACTTATGTAATTTTTGCAGTCATTTCCATGCAGTAACATGCACCAAGAGCACTTATTGCAATCCTCAAAATTTAATAAAATGATACTGTAAGCATGGTAGAACACACATATTTCTGTTGGAGACTCTAAACAATAGATTTCCAGGAACACTCAGCTGGAGCCACGTGATGGGCACGGCCATCAGACCTGCCTGGCTGTCCCCAGCCTCTCCAGGCAGGGCTGATTTTGTACAGATTTTGGCTAAGAATGATCAAGAACATCAACAAACCCCATTTCAAAGGCTGTTAAGCTCTTCCTTAACCAGCGCACTGGATAACCTGAACAATGCAGAAAACAGCTAATTCCTGGTAAAAATTCGGCTACAAGCAGACCCTACGAGAGCGCAGTTACGGGGAGTGATGAACATGGTGGGCAGCAGAGCGGAGGTGTCCTGGAGCCGGGGAAGCCTCGGTGCATCCCCCGCTGCCAGGCACCGCGCCTGCAGCCTTGCATCCGTGGGCAGCTCCACACCCGCGGTAGCTGCTTTTTCACCCTCTTTTCTTTTTTGCGGTTGGACCTGATGATCTTAGAGATCTTTTCCAACCTTAGGGATTCTATGATTCTCTCCTGAGCTGAGAATCCTCCTTCGCACCGTAACACAGTTGTTGGATTTTGCATCTGTTTGTACACCAAAACAGGGGGTTCATTAAACAGCGGCTGCGTGGGCTGCAACCTCCAGGTGCATAAACCTGAACTGAGGGCCCCGTCCGAGAGCTCTGCCTGCAGCACACGGGACTCCGCGAGTCCCCCTGCCACAGCACTGTCCCTTTTCATCGCCCTCAAAGGGTTTATTGCCAAAAAGAAGGTGTAGCTCAGCTCAAATAAGGATTACAGGGCCAGCCCCTCTCCCCAGCGTGTTTTTAAGCGGATTGCTTTAATTCGATCGCAGCACCGCAGCGTAGCTCCTGCCTCGCTGTGTGGAAGCAGAGCGGCGCGGGTCCCCTGCGTGGCCCTGGCACGGCGATGCCCCAGGAGCTCTGCAATGCTCTTACAGCTAACAACAGACGCAACAGCCTCGCAAAATTGTCAGATCAGGCAGGATTTCAGTCTGACTTCCTCAGACTGGGAAGCGGCAAAGGCATTGTGCGAATCAGCTTCGGCACAGGAAAATACGCTTAATCCTCTGGGCCTCGTCACTGGCAGCCCCTCGGTGCGGGCATGCACCCACGTGGCACAGCCCGGCTTCAGGAGCCATGGTGTCAAGCCCTGTGCCCTGCCAGCTTCGCCGACATCGCTTCTACCCAGCCTCTCAAATAATTAAATAAAGGCCCGAACAGAAGTAGTAATTATTGCACATATTTATTGCGCAGAAGCAGGACATTTTGAACACAATGCATTTTACCGAAAATCCATATTTGGTGTTCCAAGTGCCTTTGAGTAATTCAGTCCCAAATACTCGCAGATGAACACGGTGCGCGGGAGGCTGTCTTGGTCTCCCTTACGCTTGTCCTCCTCCGAAGGTCCTCACCTCGGAGGTGAAGCGAGGGCTGACATCTTTGCCAACCACAGCCACTCCTGTCCCGACACGTTGTGCAGACGGGCTCATGGGCACCAGCTCAGCCAGGCAGGTTTCGTTTCGAGGCGCTTATTTTCACAGCTGGGTGCACACGTGGATCCAGACCTCATGAAAACTGGGAGATTCCTGTAAATTTTGACCTTCTTTAGTAGTTCTAAGAGTTAACCCAGCAAAACAGGTGCCCCTTGCTACAAGCCCTTTCCCAGAATTACCACTTCGAGAGAAAGAGGCTGGCAGTCACGCTGCTTTTCTTTCTAAAGAGCAATGCCAGATCTGCACCAGTGCTCTCAAGTTTGAATTTCCTCGTAAAGTCATGCCTTGTGAGTGTCCTGTTAGGAAATGGGTGCACTGCGATCCCAGCCAGTTAATAGCCCGGCTATGGCAACTGCTCCTTCGCTTGGTGCCAGCCTGGTTTAACGGTTCTCATAAGCAACAGAAGAACCTTTTCCAGGTCGCTAAATGGGTCTTTCAAGTAGCAGCTCCAGCACTAACTCGGTGGTGTGGTCCGTCAGCATTTTGGGACTTAAGCGCTCTCCTCCGCCCGGGAGCCTCCGGCAGTCGGGGCTGGGCACCGGCAGGCTGCAAGGAACCACCGGGAAGCGATTTTTATCCAGCTGGTTAGAGGTGGATCCTTGAGGAAATGACAGTCTGCTTCTCTGGAGTAGCCAGCGGGAAGAATTGTATCCAGATGGTCTGGGGACATCTGTGTGCTTTTGGCCCATTGAGCAGTGCTGATGATTGCTTGGTACAGCAATGAAAGTTGGCCTCGTCGTCTGAGCTCAGCAGCCGCCACCTCTCCCTGCAGCCTGCGGAGGCATTTGGACACCTGATCCTATCAAAGAAAAGCACACAGTAAAGTCTGCTTCTGTTTCTTTTTTATAAAGAGCTAAAATTGTTTCCAATTCTACAATTTCCAGGTTACAAACGCTACAGCAAAGATTGGTTTCACGCCATACAAAAATATTTAGAGTCCTTCAGAACTGAAAAAGCACTTGCGAGCATCTCTGTTGGAATAAAATTCTAGATCTGGTCATTAAAAATATCCCAGCATGGGCTATACAAAAAGCTAACACTTTTACATTGAAACACAGCATGGAAAACAGACCAAAGCGTTGATGCAACCCCTGGAGAAGCCAGAAGGTCATGTGCAAAGTCCCCCAGCAGCAGAGGATGGGCTGGTGGGTCACAAAGCACTGCTCAGAGACTGTAGTTGGCAGGTGGTTTGCACAGTTTGAAATCTCTGGTTTGGGTGGGAAAAAGCAAATGGGCTCCCTGGCGGGGCTCCCTGGTTGTCCTGTTTCTGTAACTTCAGGCATGTTCTTAAGAAAAGCGCAAAGTCAGAAACCGGCCCATGGTTGCATTTGCAAATAAAAAAAGAAAAACAAAAAACCCTTCTCAATTCAGAACTTCTTATTTAGAAATAAAAATAGGAACATAAATGTGACTTGAAAAAAATAGTTGCTCTGCACTTTAAAATCCACGCAAACAAATTGCACCCCGCTGTATCTGTAGGCACGGCTCCGTTGGGTTCCTACAGTTCCCATTTGTGCCTGGCCACGTTGCGCTGGCTCAGCCAGTGCTCACAGCAGACACGGCTGTGGTGTCCGTGGCCTGCCCTGGGCTCAACCTTTCGCTTTTAGGATTTCCCACTGCTGCACCAGAGCCGAGCCGCAGGCTCCTTCCGCACAGTGCACTGCCTTGGGTGCTCAGTGCGCTGCCTTGGGTGCTCTGCAGTGCACAGATCTCAAAACTGAGCGCGATCCGTGAAGGTAAAAAAACCCAAAGCCATTTACTACATTTTGAGTTTGTGCTTGGAGCTGATAAAACAGTTGCCTACCTGATCTCCAGGTCTGCTCCAGGAGGTGGAAGATGAAGATGTGCCCTCTCGCTCAGCCCCGTCTGCAGGCTGGGCACTCTGCAGGCGGAGCAGCCCCAGCATCTCCCTGCTTGAGGGCAGCTTGGTGTCCAGCGGCATCTTCTGCTCCCCTAAACGAGTGGAGGCCAAATCGAGGGTGCTTTGGGGGAGGACCAAGCATTAGGGAATCCTGAAAGCATAGGTGAACCTGGAGGAGCTGCTCCAGTGGTCCCTGGAGCGTGGTCCTTCCCTGCAGTATAAAAGTGGTTTCCCAAGCAGTTACGCCTTGTGTGTCTGCGCTCTCTGCCCGCTCGCTTGTCTGCCCGTGCAGCTTTTTGGTAGACGGTACAGAGGTCGAGTTCTTGAGAGCAGGGAAATTCCTGCAAGCTGCACGAAAACCAGGGTCTGGAGAGAGGAGACGGCACTGCTTCTGCCAAGAACAGGCAGGGAAGTGCTGCTGCCTGTGCTCTCTGAGAAGAAGGGCCGGCAGCACGCGGGCACCGGCAGCGTGGGCTGCCCAGGCTCGTCCCGCAGCGGCCCCAGCACGAGGTGCCCCCGACCAGCCCGAGGAGATGGGCAACGCGCGAGCAAGCTGGGGCACCCTGCGGAGGAGACGCTGTGCTGGGGACATCGGTGGGCTTAGGATACAGAGAATGGAAAGCTGTGGACCTGCATGTCTTTTTTTAAACATCTGCAGAAGATCAATTACACATTAGTCAAGGGCTTCACAACTGCACTGCAGGATGGGAAGCAGAAACGTGGGCAGATTTCCAGACAACTGCAAAATCGCACTGCCAAAGTGTGTGTCAGGGAATTCATATGAAAAATAAATATATCACTATTTTTAATCTGCAATCTACAGAAACGTATGCACATACATATTCTTAAATATTAAAAATGCGTAGAAATCACCATGTCAGTATAACAGCATGCTTGCACATATTGAGGTGATGCGAACAATAATTTGATAATCTGTTGTAACACTTTAAGATTAAAAAGCCTCTTCTTTTACCTGTAGTGCCACTAGTGAAACAGACAATTGACAGATCTTCTGGTCGAGGAGGCTAGAAATGCACAAAGAGAAGAAGAAAATCACATCAGTCAAAGGCAGAAGGGTCAATGGCAGGCTGTTGTCATTGTATAAACTTGAAGATCAAACCAATTATATTTCAGCTTTGCCATAAAAAGCTTCCATTCCCCTTGGTAAATATAAAAGACCATCATAAAACCCTTTTGTCAGGTTTATTCAGTTGATGCAGACTCTATTCCTCTGTTATGTTTTGCTCCAGCTGCATTGAGGGCGTGCTTTGTGTAAGCAGACTGTGATGGAGTATTTGTGCCATGCAGTTAGTATGTTCAAAGCCACCATCTATACCTGTAGGTGAGGGGGAAAACATCAGATAATTTACTGCTTTCCAGATAAATTCTGGAAACGTGTGGTTATCCACAACAGGGGACAACTTTCCGAAGCTGCCGATTGCTCCCATTTCCAGTAGTAGCTCTGCATTCTCAGCACCACTGCACGTCCGTGCTGTTTTGGGTCACCAAAGACTAAATAAGCAGCCTGAAAATCAGAGGCTGCGTTTGAAAGTTTCGCAGGAGTATGAGCAGCCAGGGAAAAATATCAAAGCAATTTTCCAAAACCATCCCAGAGAAATACTGCCAAGTGGTGTTTCTGAGCTAGAGAAACCCCACCCGAGAGGCGAGGGTGCAGATGCATTCCCCCGGTGCCGCCTCGTAGTGGAATTAGTGTGGCTTAACAATGGTGTTTAATTACTGTCCCATTAAGGCGTTCAGTAAGGACGAAGTATCTCAGTGAAGCGTTCCAGGCGGAGGAGGGTGTGGAGCAGACACTGCCCATCTCCAGTGGTTGGTATCGACAGGCCCTGGGCTCCTCCACGGAGGAGCGGGTCACGGGGCGCTGCCCCGGAAGACACGCGGGCTGCCTGCGACCCGGAGCAGACCCTTCCCTCTGGGTCAGCGAGGAGAGCACAACGCAGCCAGCTGTGATGGAAAGCAGGAAAAGCAGCGCGCCAACACTCACCACCGGCACATGGCGACTCTCCCGGCCACAGTCCTGCAAGAGATTAAACAAACAGAAATGATTTCCACTCCGATTCCTGCGGTGTAACCCACTTGCTAATAATCTGCGAACCACCAAGGCAGAGCGTGAGCTGGAGCAGAAAAATCTGTGGCTGATGCTTAGGACGTCGCTTCTAGCCAAAGTTTCTGGCATGAACTGCAGTGCCATCCCTGGATTTCAAGCAGTGCTTGGGTTGGTTGAGCTGGATCCAGACTGTCTCATGAAAGCGCGAGGCTGTAGGCTTACACGTAGGAGGACAGCGTCTCGCAGAGCAGCCTCCCTTTCCACAGAATCAGAGAATCACAGAATGGTCGGGGTTGGAAGGAACCTCTGTGGGTCGTCTAGTCCAACCCCCCTGCCAAAGCAGGGTCACCCAGAGCAGGCTTAAGCAGCAGCTGATACCTTATTTGAGCAGGAGGGTTTGAACCGTTGGCTCTCCTATCAGCAAGGAATAACCCTGAGAGGCACCTGCACTGAGCGTTGGTATCAACAGCCGCATGCTGCTCTTTCGTGCTCTCCAGGCACTGAACCTGCCACGCGGTCCACGAGTCCCTCGATGTTTGACCGTCTGTTGACAGACACTACACAATGCAGCAACAGGAGAGGGAGAGCAAGCTCACCTCCACCTCCTGCATGGTCTGGATGCGAACCCCGCAGCGTCTCCCTCTCTCCGCCAGCTCCTTCTCGAACGGGTCCATCAGGATGACGGAGCGCAGGCCTGGCGTTTCGCTCCTCTCCACGTGGTCGAGGAGTGTTCTGGCTTTTTCGGGTTTGTCACAAATGACTGTGGAAATGTCAGCTGGAAGAAAAGTAGCCAAATGAGTTGGTGACGGCGAATCTTTTTTAATGCAAGACTGGCTACTGGCTCATGGCTAACGTTGTATGAGTGCTGATACTCACCGAAGGCTAACATCAGAAACAAAGACATATATAACCTGATATTCACTGAAGGCAAACTTCAGAAACATAGACGTGTATAACACACATTCCTCTTAGAAAATTACTGCAATTTTAGCTAACTTAAATCAACGCTGAAGCTGTAGCTGACATCTATGATTATTCTGGGATTCAGTTCAAAATACGAAAATTGCTCACCGTGTGGGCTAAAATATCTAGGAGGTAAAATACGAAGCAGCACAGGAGTGGGTGGCCCTGGAGTAATCCCCGCAGCCAGAGCGGCCACATCCACGGCTGGGCACGGCCAGGCACGGGGGAAACGCAGCCAAGGCAGCCCCGACCCAGCACGGGGACACGCAGCTCCCCAGAAACCTCCCTAAGTGACTTCAAGACGCTCCGTGAGAAAAATCACCTGTCTTTTGGCAAGCAGAATGGACCATTCTGAGCAACAGAAGGGATTTCTGAGAAGATTACATCAGTTTTGGTTTTACCAGTGTTGACGATGTAACGGATGGCTCCAGGACCCAAGGTGTCGTAGAGGGGAACCACCACCATGGAGTAGGTGTAGCAAGCCAGCTCGGAAATGATCCACTGCAGGAGGACATCAAAGCATCAAGGTGAGAAGCGGGCCATGGGAGCAGACTTAACACACTTGAGAACAAGCTTCAAGTACAAAGCCAGCTCGTAAGTCAGGAACATTATTAATACAGAGTCAAGCTGAACTCCAAATCTCACCTCTGGACGGTTTTGAGCAAAGACCCCGATGAACTGCTCCGCGGATGGCTTGCAGCCCTGCTGAAGAAGGCCTGAGCCCAGAGCTTCCGCTCTTTCAGCCACCTGGAGTTTAGAGAGAAAAATAATGCATAAAAGAGAGGAATATAAGCAATACCGAAGTAAGCAAAGACTTAGCTTATACAAGGAGGCTCTCAAATTATCCTATTTGTTATCTAAAAGCCCAAATTTTTACGTTATCACGAGCTGGTTGGCAATGCCCCCCGGCTTTGGAGCGTGTCAGTGCCGCGTCGGGAGTGGGCAAATGGCGTCGAGCCGGTCCCCAAGAGCCGACACACGCCTGTATAACGCCGGGACGGGCCCGGCTGGGGGCA